GGCCGCGGGGGCTCCGCTGCCGGGGGGGCCCTCCTCGGGGGTCCCCCTCTCCTGGGGGTCCCTCCCTGGGGGTTCCTTCTCAGGTGGCCCCTCCAGGGGCTTCCCCTCTCTGGGGATCCCTGCTCGGGGTGTCCCCTCCCTGGGTTCCTTCCTCGGGGGGTTCTTACTCGGGGGTCCCTCCCCCGGGGTCCCTCCTCGATGGGGGTCCCTCTTCGGGTGGTCCCTCCAGGGCAATTCCCTCCCTGGCGATCCCTGCTCGGGGTGTCCCCTGCCTGGGGGTCTCTCGGGGTGTCTCCTCCCTGGGTTCTTTCCTCGGGGGGTCTTTCCTCGAGGGTTCCTCCCTGGGGGTGCCTCCTCGATGGGGGTCCCTCCTCGGGTGGTCCCTCCCGGGAGGTCTGATCCCGGGGGATCCCCTCCCGCGGCCTCTCTTCACAAGGTAAAGGTTACGAGGTGCCTATGGCTTTCTCCGACGGCAGTTTTATGTATTTAGTTCCCACAAGTGGTTCAACTGGAGCTCAGAGCAGCTTTCACGCCTACAGCCACCACCGGCACAAGCTTTCGATAATCTGAGGAGCGGAATTTTATACGGCTTTGCATTTTTTTTCGCAACATGGAGAATTCGGGGTTTCCCAGGAAATGCCAGCAGAAAAAAACCAAACAAACCAAAAACTAGTACAATTCAAGGATTATTTCAATTTTAGGGAGAATTTTGACCGTAGAGGTCGGAAGAGTCCTCCCTGCCTTCCAGCACTATTTCCCTGATGATAACGTTGCTACCACGGTGTGGCCAGCTGAGGAACCGCACTCCTTGAACACCTCCAAGTCCTTCTTTATTGTTTTATGCTTTTTAAATAATTGAAGAACTGCTTTTTAAATAATTAAAGAAAGAAGAAAAATTAGGACAGCCCCACAAGTAATTGAGGGCCATCAGTCAGAGCCAGAGCAGATTGTGCTGCGGTAGGTAGACCTCTTCCCCAGCTCTGCTGGCACACCTTCCTCCTCACAGGGATGAGCCCTGCATCCCTCCATGCCATGCATCCAGCTCCATGCCAAAGCTGCTGGAGCAACTCTGGATGCTTCTTCTGGACAGAGGAAGGCAAGAGTGTTGGTTTTTCCTCTCCCTGGTCCAGAGGGTCTCTCAAGCTCTGGACATGTTGCCATGGGGGAGGAAATCAAATTTTGCAAGGAGGCTGCTGTTCCAAAAATGAATGACTGCACCAAACAGCTCACAGGAATTTGTCATGCATCAGGATGGAAAGAAGGAGAAAATCCCTCCCAGATGTGGTATAAGGTTGCATCCTTCCTTTGGCAGCTGGGATGTGTGGGCCAGACACATGCAGCTGGTAAAAGGACCAAAGCAAAACCCTGTTGCTGCCTCACTGGGAAAACAGGGCAACCAGGCTGGGCTGCAAGGGCCAGCCAATGTTTTCGGCCTGATGCCAGCATTTTCTTAGCACCTTATTTCCCCCTCATCCCTGCATAAATCTGGGTCAACTCACTGACTCTCTGCAGCCATCTCATCTCTGCACTCTCCCACCCTGGGTTACAGGCATCCTATAATTATTTATGCAGAGCTGAGCAGGAGGCACAGAGCTTCAGCCTCAGGAGCAGTTCCTGCGTCAGACACTGAGGCCAAGTTCTCAGTTCCCAAGCAGAAAGCAGGTTTCAACAGTCAGAGCTGGATTTAAACCACTGGTTTGGTGTGAGAGCCACCAGTGCCAGCCAGCCTGAGTCAAGACAAGCAGGCAGATAGAGAGGAAAGCAGACAGAAATCTTCAACTGTGTAAAAGTGAGAGCTGAGCAGGCTGCCTTGGGAAAGCTCTCAAGGTTCACACAGCCCTACTTTTATGGCTGGGATTTGAGACTTGTCCTGGGCTTGCAAAACGGGAGCTTGAACCTGAAACTGGCCACCAAAATCCTGGCCTCTGCATCCTTTCTCCTGCTGGGACACAGAGTATGGGTTGTGGTTAGGGTTCCCCTCTGTTGACTGCAGTCACATCTGTGCTGTACCTGGAAACCTCAATCAGGTTCTCATCAGGGTCTCGGAAGTAGATGGATGTTATTGGACCCACAGCACCAGTTCTGGCCACGGGACCTTCTTCAATGATCACCCCACAGGCCTGGGAAGATATATAAGGGCAGGGTTTAATGCTTATGGTAGTCTTATCAGGGCGATGTGCGCTCCTCCCACCCCGGCCTTGAAAACATGAGCTGTTGGATGAGACAATTCTGACATTCCCCAAAACACAGACCCTTAAAGTGTCACTTGGGAGGTTCTGGCTTTGTGCCTCCTGGGGTCACTCTGCCCTGTGCAAGCTCTACACCTTCCTCACCTTCAGATGATCCAGCAGCTGGTCCAGGGGGACCTGTGTGATAAGGCAGATGTCTGCAGAGCCGGGGACCGGCCACCGAGCCTTGGGTTCAAACTCCTTCCCAGCCTCATGCAGGTTAAACTTCTGGTTGCCAAAACGTAAAGCTTTGCGATTTCCCTGTCCCCAAAGAAAAGAATCAAAGTGCAATGAGACTTCCTGGGCTGGGAGCCTTCAGCATCCGCTCGCCTGTGTAGTCCTAAAAGTCCCGGGGACCTGGCTGTAGTTCTGCTAACTCTGGGCTCTTGCTGTGGCAACCCAAGACAAGAACTGGCCGCTGCAGGGCTCCCATGACATCCCTGGAAATGTGGAGTGACCCAAGGAAGTCCTACAGCCACATGCAGCTACTTCCATACCGTAATGATATACGTTTTCTGTTTTGGGCAATCTCCATCCTGCCTGTGGGGCAGCCACACAAATAATGAACAGGTGGACACTGCAGTGGGAACAAAGATGAGGCAGTGGGAAGAGAGTGAGGAAGGAGGTTATGGCATCTCTTTTCTTTGCAGACTCTCGAAGAGATTTCTGCAGGCTCATATGGCAGCTGAGTCCTGAAACCCCATGGACGCTGACCTGGCATCTGGGCCCACCTGAAGAACAAACTGAGGCTCACTGTAGCCTTGGGATGTGAGTGCAATTACGTTTAAGATACCTGATGGGGTAGGAGAGGAGGACATAAGTTTGAAAGCTAAAAAGGTGCAATGTGTACATCCAAAACAGGCCAAGAGGCCTGAAGCTTGGGCAGGAGAGGAGTTAGGGATGTTCTTAAAATGTTAATCATCTTTTCCTCTCTTTGCCAATGGAAATATCAAAACCAGAGCCTATCAGACATCTTTAGAGGATATGTGGGTTTGAGGGTTCTCCTCCTTTGGTCCTAGAAATTGTTTTTCAAAGAACCTTTTTTTTTTTTTTTTTTTTGTCACTTTGACTCCTTCTGCAGCATGATTTGGACTTCCCTCTGACTCAGCTTCACTCTGTTAAAACTCAGAGCTTGATGGGCTGCAGCTTGTGCTGGTCCTCCCATCCCCACTTCAAGGAGATGCCCCAGAGACCCTATCAGAGATCCACAAGGACCAGCCACTGGCCCAGAACTACAGTTCCACCTTCACTAGGCCTGAGAAGAGCCTGTACCCCATGTTACCTTGAAAGTCACCACCTCCATGCCCAGGACTTTGGAATAAAAGGCCACAGTGTCCTCAATGCTCTTCACAGTCAACACAAGGTGGTCCAGGCGCTGGATGAAACATGGGGGTGGATTCATACAGTCGTCCTTCCAGGACATCTCAGGGCTGGTAGCTAGCACGCAAAACCACAGAAGGTGAAGGTTAGGAGCATCCAGCTGCTCAGAGAAATGGTCCAGGCAGGCTGTGAACCAAACTGTGAACGGAGATCAAACAGGTTTTCTTTTGGCCTGCAGGTGGCACAAGTACAGAAGCAATAAATTCTCCTCCCTGGAAGGGCCTCAAACCCCGGCTTTGCTCTGGTGGGACCTGAGCATGTCAGAACCCCTGCCTGGGGCTAGATCTGGAGGACCAGCTGGGTGAACTCACTAAGGGCTGATGTCACCAAGATGCTGAGTTCCCAATGCGCAAAGACCTGTGTGCACCAAGGATGGACGATGTGTCTGATCCTTCCTTCCAACTCCCTCTGGTGTCTTCCCAACCTTCTTCATGACCAGGTGCAGACACTCACCCAGGTGGAGCAAAGACAGAGAGTTGAAGACAAGCTGGGTCCTGGCAGTGCAGTAGGAAATGTCTCTGGGGGAAGAATTTTCCTGGGAGAAGAGGTCACCAGGGCTGAAGCAGCTGCTTGGTGTCCCCAAGGAAAGGTGCTGTGTTATTATCTTGCAGGAAGGGGACAGAATCCCTCCTGGTGCCTATATAATGTAGCTATAAAACATGGACCATGAGATAGGGACTGCGGCCCTGACCAGCGCCAAGAGGATGGGAACTTGCCACCAGCATGGCTGCACTGTGGGACTCAGCCCGAGGGACAACAGGCTGAGGGCTCTGGGACTGTGACATGGTGGCTTGGCAGAGGACAATCACTTTTAGGAAAATTAAGAGTGCTGTAAACATTTTGGCGACCTACTTGTGACATCTCTGCTTCACTTCAGCCCCATCTGCACCAGAGCAGGATCCCTGATGATCCCACTATGATGACTCCCGTGACCCTCCGATGGTCCCTGAACCCCTGATCATCTACATGCAGTTAAAGTGAGCTCAGGCTGCTTAACTCAGTGGCAGCAGATCTTCCTGCTCTTCTCCAGAGCCTGGGAGTACCTTTGCACCAAGCTGTGAGAAGGAAATGGATTTGGCCCCGGTGGCCTGAATGATATTTTTGGGTGCCTGTGAAGTTTTCATTTCATTTTTTGTTTGCTTGATTCTACCTTCAGAAAACCCGGCGGTGGGAACTAGGAGGGCTGTGACAAGCCCCTCAATGATGAATGGAGTCAAGTTTCCTTCAAATTGGTAACAGCCCTCTACTTAGCTACCTTTACTTCTTGCTTTTAAAAAGCCCCAAATCCTGATACAAATGACAAGTCACTCTTTTGAGCCCCTCAACAGTTTCTCCACTGACAGCCCTGTGCAAGGGAAGCCCAACACTCCTGCTGCCTCTCGGGAAAAAAAAAAAAGAAAAAGAGGTGGAAAATAAACAATAAACCCTCTCAACACTAATGCAGCACAGAGTGGCACAGATCAGCAAAACAGCCCACACCACCAAACCCTTTTTGCCTTGTTATTTGCCCTCAAACTGCTGGACGTCATCAGCAGGCAGAGGGTGAGGGTGACGCCAGAGGTCCAAGGAGATGTAGCATGATGGTACGGGGGACTCGGTAGCCTGAGTTTGCAGCGGTTCTTGGTGTTGGCTCTTATGTTGGGTTCATACCCTCTGGCATTGCCCTTCTGCAGCAGAGTGCATGGGAAATGGCTGGCAAGAGGAGATCTCAAAGCCCCGCTGGGAGAGGAGCAAGGTCAGCATAAAACCTGGACTGTGCCCAGTGATTGCACCAGCTACAGAGGGGAAGCCGTTAACAGAGGCAGCAGAAAATCACTGCTCCTCCCTGTTGCAGACAGCGTTTGGTGTGTAACAACCTCAGAGCAAGTCAAGCTCAGTCCCTCTGCAAAGTCCTTCCCACCCAGGAAGTTTTCCTGGGGGCTCCCAAGTTGGAGGACCCTCATGTCACAGCCTGCAGCTCCCACCTCCTGCCTCGCCAACCTCACCGGTACAACCCTCCCCTCCCACGTGAGCCCCTCAGCAAACAACGGCAAGGAAATTGGACGGCAAAAATAGGCTGAGTACCTGCGAGAGAGGATGAACAGCCGGGCAAGACGGTGCTGGACGGTTCCCTTATGGCCGTCTTCTTCCTACTGCCCGGAACTGAGGTGTGCGAGCAGCAACGTCACGGGAGAACAGGGTGGGGGGGGAAGCAACGAGATTAGAAACAGGAGCTCTGAGCACTGCTCCCTGGAGAGGTGTACTTTGACCCAAAGGACCTGGAAGTCCAACTACACCGAGTTGCTTGAAAAATCCCGGAAAAAGAGCCTGGATATTTTAGCCGTCTAGCATAGAGTCATAGAATCATTATAACTGGTAAAGACCTTTAAGATCATCAAGTCCAACCGTTATCTAACTCTGCCGGGCCCACTTCTAAACCATATCCCTGAACACCATATCTAGATGGCTTTTAAATACATCCAAGGATGGCAATTCAACCACTTCCCTGGGCAGCCTGGTCCAGTCTTTGATAACCCTTTCAGTGTAGTTTTTCCTAACGTCTAACCTAAACCTCCCCTGGAAGTACTTGATGCCATTTCCTCTTGTCCTATCAATTGTAACCTGTGAGAAGACACCAAAGCCCACCTCTCTACACCCTCCTTTCGGGTAGTTGTAGAGAGCAATAAGGTCTCCCCTCAGCCTCCTTTTCTCCAGGCTGAACACCCCAAAGTCCCTCAGCTTCTCCTCATAAGACTTCTTCTCCAGACCCCTCACCAGTTCCGTTGCCCTTCTCTGGACATGCTCCAGCACATCAATGTCCTTCTCATACTGCAGCGCCCAAAACTGAACACAGTACTCAGAGTGGGGCCTCACCAGTGCCGAGTACATTGGGACAATCCCTTCTCCAGTCCTGCTGGCCACACTATCCCTGACACAGGCCAGGATGCTGTTGGCCGCCTTGGCCACCTGGGCACAATGCTGGCTCATATTCAACTGGCTGTTGACCAACACCCCTAGGTCCTTTTCTGCCGGGCAGCTTTCCAGCCGCTCTGCCCCACGCCTGTAGTGCTGCATGGGGTTGGTGCGACCCACGTGCAGGACCCAGCAGTTGGCCTTATTGAACCTCAAACTATTGGCCTCAGCCCATCGATCCAGCCTGTCCAGATCCTTCTGAAGAGCCCCCCACCCTCAAGCAGATCAACACTCCCACTTAACTTGGCGTTGACTGCAAACTTACTGAGGGTGCTCTCAATCTCCTTTGCAAGGGAAAGATGTGTTAACGTGCTCTATTGAAGCACACGGTTGAGCTTGGTCCTCAGACCAGGATGACTTACTGCTCAGAAGCAGCAAGGATATCCCTGGAGAAGCAGAGCTGTTGCAAGCAGCTGCAGCAGGCTTACCCGCTTCCCGGCAGCAGACGACGCGCCTCTTCACCTCTTTGCCCCCAAGATTATTTTCTACCACGCAACATGTTGGTGTCTCGGTGCCCCGTGAGGCATTTGCTATTCCTGGGAGCGCTGCAACCTCCCACTAGTAAAAGATGTGTGAGCTGTAGGTGCCATTCTGCGCCATACACAGCCAACGTGTAGCAAGGAGCAATAGAAAAGGAGGCTCAGGGTGATGTGCACAGCTTTGGGCACCTTTTTGGACACCCCTTCCTGCAAACAGACATGTCCAAAAAGGTCCTCTGGGGCCCGAGGCAGAGTTAGAGATTTTTCTTTTTCTTCAGTCTGAATCTCTAGAACTGTAGCATTTGTTTCCCTCCAGTTTACATGCAAGTAAATCTGTTCTTAGCTAAAAGCAATAAAACTTTTAATGTTAATAACTCTGAACTTTTATCTGTCTCTACGGAAGAGCTGGTAGAGCAATGGTGCGTGTTCTGACACCTCAATATAGTAAGACTACACACATCCAGGTGTCTCAGTGTGTTGTAACCCTGCTGTTTTAGCACAGGTTCACTGTGAAACCTGAGAGTAGATAAAAAGGAGAGAATTCCTGGAGAAAAGATGCCTTTCATGAGTCAGCTGCACTAGGAAGTGGTCTGCTGAAGAGGTACATCGCGGGCACTCGCTTCAGCAGAAAGCTGAGGTTTGGGAGGGCTTTTTTACTAGCTGCGTAATGGTTTCTTGGAGCAGGGAAGCTGGGGCTTGGGTCTGGGAACTTCACCTCCCCAAGGGAGATCTAACCTAAGACCGACAAGTCAGAGGCACTTTGGCAATAAGTTTCAGATGGGACCCCCATGTATCAAACTTAAGCTTTGGGAAGAGTTTTGAGTTTAGCTCCTGAAAGGTGTAGCTGCAGACAAAGGGTTCCTGAGCTGCTCCCGACAAACATCCAGAGCGGATTGGTTCTACATGTTGGACAGCGTGATGGAGTTGAAGTAGCTCAGCAAGTCCTCCATGGTGAAGTCCATGGCAATCCCTGACCCTGCATAACAGTGTTGGATCAGATCCTCAAACTCTTGGTACTGACGTATGAACTCCTGCTCCATAGCGTGCCACACCACCTGGGGAAAAACAGACCATCAGCTCCCTCCATCAGCCTGCGAGAACTATACATGCTTTGCAGTCCTGAACCCTGCAAAACATCACAGTGTTACACCCACATCACACTCCAGTTACCGGCAAAAGATTTTCCTCTGGGGAGAGACACTTGTGGATTTTCCTGTAGAGGGACTCAAGGGCTCGTTTTACTTCCTTGCCAGGGTATTTTTCAATGACCTTCCTCAGCTCTTGCTTGCTGTAGGCCAGCTGAAAGCTGACCTCTTCTTCTTTCACGCCTTGAGCCACACGGGCTTTCACCCCTTCAAAGAAGTGCTGGAAAGGCAAGGAGACATTCACTGATGAACTGTCCTAAGGCGGAACTCCTGCGTCAGGGCTGAAACCTGACCGCTTTCCTCAGGTCCCTTCCCATGTCTAATTCAGTGGAAATAAGGATTGGAGGTTGTCTATCCTCCAGGAAAGCAAGGCATGGGGAATTTTGTCAGTTCTCCTCCCTCCCTGCTCGGCAAGCAGCATCTCTAAGGGTTGCAGTACCATGGAGCAATGGAACTGATGGAAAAAC